AGTAGCAGACAAGTTAGAACTTTAACCGAATCAGGGGGAAAAAGACAACTAGGAAGAGCCCTCCTGGAGTTGGAGCAAGCTTCAAAGACTGCCAACACCCTGTCCCTGCAAAGAGGCCCCACTTTTATTGGATCAGACTGTGGTGCAATTTATGCTCTAGGGTGTGGCAGGAACAGTAGAACAATTATTAGAGGCTAACAGCTGGGTGTGTGATACCACTACAGACAGATCAGCTAGAAGCTTATAAAAGGAAGACCCAAGAAAGAAACTGTCAGAGTCCACCTGAACCCACCTGAACCTCCTTCCTGGAGGACAGAGAGACTGTGCATGCTCAAGACAGCATCCTGTGAGAAATGATGTCAGAGGCGGCACACTACTAGGTAAATAGACTTCAGTGAACTAGAGATAAAGAGGGACATTTTCTAATGATAAAAGGGTCAATTTAATCATGAAGACATAATTAAATCCTCAACAACAGAACCCCAAAATGCATGAAGTAAAATGTGACAGAATTAAAGAAGGAAGTAGATAATTGGACAATAATAGCTGAACACATATAATGGACAGAGCATCTAAGCAAAAGATCAACAAAGATGGAAGACTTGAACAACACTATGCATCAGCTAGATTAACAGACATCTATAGAGCACTTCACTCAGCACGAGCCAGGTTGCTGAATACAGCATTCTTTTAAAAAGCACTAGCAATCAACAATCTGAACATAAAATTAAGAAAACAATTAGTTTACAGTAGCATGAAAAAGAACGAAATACTAGGAATAAATTTAATAGTGTGAGACTTGTATGCTGTAAATTATAAAACATTATTGAAAGAAACTAAAGAAGATCTAAGTAAATGGGAAAGCATCCTATGTTCATGGATTGGAAGACTGAATATTTGAAGATGGCACTACTCCCCAAAATGATCTACAGAATCAGTGCATTCCCACGAAAACTCCCCAGCTGGCCTCTTTGGAGAAATTGACAAGCTTGATCCTAAAATTCAAGGGACCCCAAATAGCCAAAATAGTCTTATAAAAGAACAAATTGGAAGGACTTAAACTTGACAGTTTCAAAAATTACTATAAAACTACAGTGATCAACACGGTGTGTTACTAGCATGAGGTATAGATCAATGGAATAGAGTTGTATGTCCGGAACTAAAATTATGGCCAGTGATTTTGCACAAAGGAAGTTGGGCCACTTTTTAATACCCTATATGAATATTTACTCATGAATCATAGACCTAAAAATAAGTCCTAAAACTAAAACTTAGAAGGAAAGATAGGAATAAATCTTCATAACCTCAGTTTAGCCATTAGTTTTTCAGATACAATACCAAAAGCACAAATGACAAAAGAACATAGATCAATTTTAGTTCATTAAAAATATAGACTTTTATACTACCAACTGTAGCATCAGGGACATGACAGAAAGTTCACAGTTGGGAGAAATATTTTTAAATCATATATCTGATAATAGAGTTATATTCAGAACATGTCAAGAATTCTTACAACTAAACAACAAAAAGGTAAATAGCCCAATTAGAAACTGGGCAAGCATATGAATAGACAGTTCTCTGAAGAAGGTATATTTAAATGACCAATAAACACATGAAGAGATGCTCAACATCATTAGCCATTAGGGGAATGCAAATCTAAACCACGAGATACCTTCTCATGTACTAGGATGGTATGATCAAAAAGATAACAAGTGTTTGTAAGTATATGGAGAAATGAAACTGGTGTTATTGCTGTGGGGAATACACAATTAGAGCAGCTGCTTTGAAAATGGTTTGGCACTTCCTCAAAATGCTAAACATAGTTAACATATGATCCAGAAATTCCACTTCTATGTATATATATCCAAGAGAAATGAAATTATACACCCACAGAAATGAAAATATACATACCCACAAAAACTAACACACAAATATTAAAAGCAGCATTATTCATATGATAGCCAAAAAGCAGGAACAATCCAAGTACTCATCAACTGGTGAATGAATAAAATGTAGTATAGTTTATACAATGGAATATTATTTGGGAGTAAAAAAGGAAGTAAGTACTACATGCCATGACTTGGGTGGCATTTAAAGCATTAATTCTAGGAGAAAGATGTCAGTTACCAAAAAACCAAATACTGTATTATTTTATTCACATGAAATGTCCAGGATAGGCAAGTCTGTAGAGACAAAAAGTAGTATAGTGGTTGTATAAGGCTGGGCAAGCAGGAGAATGGGAAGTGACTGTTTAATGGATTCAGGGTATTAGGGGGCGCGTACAAAAATGTTCTAAGATTAGGTCATGGCAATATTTTCACACCTGAATACACTAAAAAATAGTATTTTATACTTTAAATGGGTGAATCGTATAGTATGTGTATTATATCTCAATAAAACTTTAAAAACAAACAGGTGTGACCATAATTGATATGCACCAAAAGAAATCTGTATATTTCAGAATCCAGATTGATAAAATTGTTAGTTGTTTGATTCAAGAAAGAACATGTACCACCTGCCTTAATGAGTGTTCAGTTAGGTGGTCTGTTGATTTGGATTAGAAAGTAGCTTGAATGCTACATGAAACAGTTCAAATGTAGATATTTTGTTCAAAGTCTGAATTGACTGAATGTGGGGCCAAGTTAATTACAGTTTGTGCCATGTAATGTCTGTTTTTTAAAAATCACTAAACAATGAAATGGCATTAACAGTTGAGGATTTTATTGGATTAATACAGACATACCTCGTTTTATTGCACTTCACTTTATTGTGGTGTATGGATGGTATGTTTTTTACAAATGAAGGCAAGGCCCTCCATCAGCAAAAAGATAATGATGCTTTATTTTGGTGGGGTGGAACCAAACCTGCAATACCACCAAGGTATGTCTGTACTGTTCCTAATACCTTTTTAGATGTTAAAGTCTATATCACAGTGAAATTATTTGTGGTTGATTTTTAGAAGTCACTTCCTTAAGCATTTTTTTTTTTTAGTCCATGAGAGACAATGTTGGGAAATGCAGGTATAATAAAGGTTTTGGTTATATAACACAAAATATTTTGTTTAAAAAGTTTTAAACAATGTGACAAACTTAGCTTACCTTATATAGAAATGTTAAGGGGTCGCTGAGTATGCAAGAGAGTTCTTCATATTAAAGTATTGGTTATATCATTGATGCTAAATGCATCTTTGCAAAATACATATTTTAGTTGTGCTGTTGACATAGTTTGGGTGATGTGGAAATCATAGCAAGCTGGTTGCAGATATCACTGGGTGTATTTAAAATCTTTGAAGAAGTCATTTGTGAATTATAGCATGCCTTCAGTGTCTTGTTTGACATTGTGCCAAGGTATTTTCCCATTTTTTAATTTAGAGCACTTTTAAATTTTTCATTATATGCTTATAACTAAATGCATGTGTTGATATATTGCAATAATTTGAAGTGGATTACATGCACTAGAATTTAAGAACACTTTTAAAATGTACTTTGCTTTTTATAATCTTTTGTTCTATTACAGTGTTTCCTCTTTACTGTTTAGCTATGAGAGTGGAAGTGCAAAGCATTGTTAACCTAGTCCTGTGCTCCTGCAGTCTGAGAGCAGGTTCTTACAGTCTCTGGTAGTCTAGGGCAGTGTTTTGAAACTTTTGACCAGGCCCTACATTTTTATATTGCAAACATATTCAAGCATACATATAGTACTAAAATGTTTCCCTTTAAAACATTTGATGACGAGCCCTGGCTGGCATAGCTCAGTGGATTGAGTGCGGGCTGTGAACCAAAGCATCGCAGGTTCGATTCCCAGTCAGGGTACATGCCTGGGTTGCAGGCCACGGCCCCCAGCAACCACACGTTGATTTTTCTCTCTCTCTCTATCTCCCTCCCTTCCCTCTCTAAAAATAAATAAATAAAATCTTTTTAAAAATTTAATTTAAAAAAAAACAAACATTTGATGGCCTGGTTGGTGTGGCTCAATGGATTGAGCGCAACCTTCGAATCAAAGAGTCACCGGTTCAATTCCCAGTCAGGGCACATGCCTGGGTTGCCAGCTGGGTCCCCAGTAGAGGATGGTGAGAGGCAACCACACATTGGTGTCTCTCTCCCTCCTTAAAAAAAAAAAAATGTGATGCACGCTACTTTTCAATTCTTTTTTTCTAATGCTAGTTTTGACCTATTTCACAAAATTATTAACTTCATAAAATTATGAAGATTTTTTTTTAAAGTTTTTTTAAGTTTTTTTTTATATATATTTTTTATTTACTTATTTTTAGAGAGGGAAGGGAGGGAGATAGAGAGAGAGAGAAACATCAGTGTGCGGTTGCTGGGGGTTATGGCCTTCAACCCAGGAATGTACCCTGGCTGGGAATCGAACCTGGGACACTTTGGTTCCCAGCCCGCACTCAATCCACTGAGCTATGCCAGCCAGGGCTTAAATTATGAAGATTTTTGAAAGCTACAGTTTATAAAATAGTGCTCTAGGAACAAAATTGTGAATTCAAATACATTCTTTTTGAGTTTTCCCTCCTAATGACCTTATAAAAATGTTTGTTTTATGTCTGGAGAATACAGATCTCATACTCTGAGGGCAGATAAGATTTGCAAATGAGACTTGGGGTTTAAGGGTTTTTTTGTTTGTTTTTGTTTCTTTTGCTGAGTTGAATTGTCTGTGAACTGCTGTAGTAAAAGAAGAACCAATGTACTTGAATGATCAAGGAAATTTTCCCTTGAGTAATTATAGTTTAGCTAGAGTTTACCTGTAAATTTTAAATAAAACTCATAATCAAAAAACATGGATAAAACCACCCAAAGTATATTTTTATATTCACTTTGCTTTTATACTTTTGTGGTAATCAATTTTATCCTGATATGAAGTTTTAAGATATTTTAATTATATTAAGCTGATTTGTCTTACTTATTGTTGGTATTTGTCATTTTTGCATCTATGCTTTTAATATTGAATGGAGAAAGATACTTGTGCAAATATTTCACCAAATATTTTTGCAGGGACACTTAGTCGGTCTGGATGAACCAGCTTCGGGAGCTGGGCAGGAAGCTCTGCTTAAACAAGCAAAAATCATTCGATTCGAGAGACAAGCAGAAGAGTTCCTCAATGCAGTCTTTTATAAAAAAGGTTGGTGCCAGTAAAGAATGACATTTAGCATCTGCTTGTCTTGTATTAATCTTAATTTCCATGTCATTTTTAAAAAGATTTACTTTTAAAAATATTTTTCTTTCTTGGTAATGTACTTTATAATTCTCTATGTTTCTTTGGTCAAGTTAAATTTCAAATAGGGTAAGGCAATCCTGCTCCCTTTCTTTCACTCTGAATTGATGGTACCGTGTAAGTTTTAGTTAAATAATTCTTAAAATTATTATGAAAGTCTGAATATTGCAAGGTTTCAGTGATGTATTTTGTTAGTTCGATTTTCTTAAACAGTTACTTTTTATCACTAATAACTCTAAAACTAACTATGAAATTTTAAGTGATTTCTCACTGAAATATGACTTGGAAAAACAATGTAAAGTTATATCTGAAATTAGATTTGCAAGCATTTTCTCTCCTTGACACAGTCTTATTTCACTAAATATTTTCACTTATTAAAATTGGAGAGCCCTGGCTGGTGTAGTTCAGTGAACTGAGGGTGGGCCTGCAAACCAAAGTGTTGCTGGTTCGATTCCCAGTCAGGGTACATGCCGGGGTTGTGGGCCAGGTCCCCACTTGGGGGCATGTGAGAGGCAACCACACATTGATGTTTCTCTCCCTCTCTTTCTTCTTCCCCTCTCTGTAATAAATAAGTAAAATCTTTAAGAAAGCTGAAAAAAAAATTTGGAGAAAAAACCCATTATTATAATATAAAATTTCCCCCTACACATTTGAGGTGGATCTTTTGTATTTTTCAATTTCTCTTTCTCCTTGAAACTTTTGTAGACTTGTTTTACATTTCTCTATCCTAAAAGCATAATTTTTACCAGCCTAGAGACCTTTTGGAAGCTTCCATTTTAGCCAAGAGTCTTTACCTTCAAGATGTCCTTTCTAAATAGATTTTTAGCCCTGGCCAGTGTTGCTCAGTTAGTTGGAGCATCATCCCACTTTAGTTACAGGTTCTATTCCCGTCACAGCACATATGGTGGGTTGCAAATTTGGTCCCTGGTCTGGTCACATACTATCGCCGGTCCAGTGTGTACAGGAGGCAGCCAATGCTTCTCTCTGTTATTCACTTTCCTCTTTCTTCCTCTCTAAAAGCAATGGGGGAAAAAAAGTTCTTGAGTGAGGATAAAAACAATAATAAACATATTTTTAATCTTTAGCAGACTCAGTGATTCTATTTTCTTTAATATCTCTTCAGTGTTCTAGTTTCTACCTCTCATTCCTCTGGAAATTCACTTCTGCCCTCTGAAGTTTGAAAGCTGATGTCTGCCTGATTAAGTGCTGAATCTGATGGGTCGGTTAAAATCGGAGACCAGCTGGGCTTCTGTGTAATGTAATTGATATTTTCCAAAGGGAGTGTATGGTAAAATGTAATATAAAATTAAGGGATGCACAAGGTTATTGTTTTCAGTGGAATTAAAAAGAATTTTCTTCTATCACTAAATTAAATCTTTAGTGCATCCTGTTTTCTCTTTTAATGACATCCTCTTGTACCCTGTGACCTAAAGCTCCCAACTGATACTCCTGCACTTATTGTCTCATGATGATGAGGCATCTAAAGATGATGAGGCTCATCTTATTGTCTCAATAAAGTATCCTGAATTCCAAAGTTATGTTCAGAATAGTAATATTCTTAGTTTTATGAACATTTGATTGTTTTATTAAAGTAATTCAAAACTAAAGTATAAATGACTGATCAATTCTGTCAGTTTATTAATTGAATAAAATCTTTTTAAAGCTTCTTTGCTGTGCACTGAATCATGGGTCTCCTGTCTCAGCAAACATATGATCTGAAAAGAGGAGCTCCTCTCCATAATGTACATGGAGGAACCACTTTTCATCCACTGTTTGCTTAAAGGGAGTTAGCCTACTTTTCCACTAGTCCCATTCCTGTCTCATATAGAGATAACTTACACTGAAGTTTTATAGTTTCATTTAGAAATTAAACTTCTGGGAACATAACAGAAATTGTTACTTTGACATCAGTCTTAGAATAAGCTTCAAGAAATGAGAATTCCTTAAATTTGTATGTCAAGTTGTGTATTTGTATACTGGTATCTGATGCTCAGAAAAAGAACTATTGCTTTGCAATTGGAATTCTCTCTGCCTTGCTTTATGTATTAATATTGTTACTTAGATGTTTTATGTATATATAAATATATCAAACTATTCAAACTCTTGATAAATATATCAAGAGTAATTATCAGCATAACTACTCTTGAGATTAATGCTTAAAATGTTTATTATCTATAGATATGACAGGCAATTTATAGTCAGAAGAGAATATTTTGTTTTGAAAAAAAATTCAGATACTTGGATTTAGTCCTTTGTTTCCAAGTATTGCAAATTCTATGTTATAAATAACTGAGTATGAAAAGGTTATATGTCACTAGATAGAAACATTAGTGCAATAAAAGTCGGCTTTTGTGGTCTGGATTTTATTTAAGGACAGTATACCTTCTACCACTACTATGATCACATTTCTCTTCAGCTTGTTTTGTCACTTGTGTTAAGGAAATTTGACACTTTTCTAAAAGTTAGAGGTCCATTTTTAAAACATATAGGTGGGTGTAGGGCAGCTTTTACATGTTTTTCTGTAGTTTAATTTTGATTTGACTTTTTATTTTACTCAATTGTGAATGTTCCCCAAGGCATGGCTCTGTTTATAGATACAGTGTTTTAAGTAAGTGAAGAAATGAAAGTTGTTCAAGATACTTCTTTTTAATTGATATAAGAGAGAAAGATTTGTTGTTCCTCTTATTTATGCATTCATTGGTTGATTATTGTGCCCTGACTGGGGACCGAACCCGCAAACTTGGCATATTGGGATGACACTTTAATCAACTGAGCTACTAGGCGAGAGCAAGAAGCTTTCAAAAGACATAGAAAAAATGGCAGAAATGTCATCAATTAATAAACATGAATTGTGTTTCATAATTGTTATTCATTTAACAAAAGGCAAAATATTCTCTAGCCATTTAAAGCTCAAAGGTAACAATTTGTGGTATTTATCCAAAATCTTTGACTTTTATGAATCTCTAGTTATATTTATTAATCTAGTTAAACACAGAGACATCTCATAAATTACCTCATTTTGTTTCCTATTTGGAAATTTCTTTATATATTACATATTCTTCAACTTTTGTGGGGCTATGCTAATAGATTAAAACTTGAAATTATATATAGTCTTTCATTTGGAGGGTTGTATGCTACTTTTAAAAAATGGATCTTAAGTAGAAAGTTAAATGAATATAAATAAAAAAATTCATTCAGTAGAAAGATTTAAAAAGCAATGTATGGCTAAAATGTTTATTAAAACATTTAAGGAACCATTGTTAGTGACTATATTAACTTCTGAATCTTAACCAATTGAGTACCTGTATTTCTATACCCTCTAACATACTCACAGTCTCTATGTATAGAGAGGAAAATTAGGGTGGAAATTACATCTTCCTAGTAGAACAGAAATGTTATTATGGTAGAACAAACCTTGTTAAACTGCAGAGAATTAAATAAATATCCTGACTTTATAATCATCTTCTGGTATAATTAAATATTGTCCCTCAGAAAAAAATTGTCTGTTTTTAGGAGTCCAGTAAGGTTTTGAGGTATGATGTGTGTATATGTTTTTTTGTGAAGATACTAGATTTTAGTAGTGAGCTTTTTTCTAAATTTATAAATCAACCCAAGTTCCTCACAGCTCCACCTTCTATAGTTAATATTTAAAAGACCAAAGAAACTTAGATTTTCTGAAATCTTCTAAGCCTCACAAGTGTGGTGGGGGAAGTAAAGATCACCAGTGGGACATGAAGATCAGGGGGCCTTTTAATCAAGGTTCTGCCACTAACCATCTATACAAATTTGGAGAGGCCACTTACTTTTTAGAGCACATTTCCTTCATTTGTTAAAACTATTTGATGGTAATTGATTTGATTGTTCCATTCACTTCTTAACTGATATAAATGCATACTTTACAGCAAGCAAGATTAGGTGCTAAATCTACAGTGGTACACAAACACAATCTCTGGGGAAGCTCAGATTCCCCTGATAATATGATAAGGTTAAGGATGTGATGTAATATATTCACATAAAACATTTTTTGTCTTGCACCCAGTTTGACCTTCAGGGTCTTTTCCAGTGCTGAAAATTCTGAGTTAATTTTTATTTTAAGATTAGCGTTAATTACAAATTGGTAACTTAGATGTTTATTACTTCTCTAGCTATTGTTTTTAGTGGTTGGCAGAGTGTATTTAAAGAATTCATGGAAAATAGAGAGTCTTAGGCTTTTGAGGTTTGGCATTTAAAATTCTAGCTCAAGGATTCTAAAATTATGGTCCTTCCACCAGGAGTATCAAGAAACATGTAAGGAATACCTTGACCTCACCCTAGAACTGCTGAATCAGGACCTGGCAGTTTGTTTCTATAATCCCTCAGAGTGATTCTGATGAACACTAAAGTGTGAGAATTATTGCCCTAGTCTACCATGGATCTTAATATTAAGTATCTCCTTTTACAATCTTGGTAAACCTTCAGTTTTAACAGAAAGTAAAACAAGCCCTCATGAACTGAGTACTCCATTCCTGAGCAATTTAGGAAGAAATTGCTGGGGAAAAAATTAGGGAACAACTGTAGGTAGTGAAAAAGGGAGTAATTATTTCATAAAAGAAGTGTTTGAGGATTTCTGTATCAGGTAAGTGATTCTTGTCCAAAAAATAAGCTATTTGTTTTTCCTTTATTTGACTTCATAATCATGGGAGAATGCTTAGAACTAATTTTATGAAAATTTTATTTTTTTAAATCTACAGCACATAAGCTTAGACATGAAAAATATAACTGAGGAAATGCTATTTTAGGATATTGCATTTTAAGAAAAAAAACTTTTATGTTTGCTTGAAAGCTATCTTTTTAGTACATTGTCCCACTTTAAAAGTAAATAAATCTTTGTTTACAGACAGTCCCTGGGTCTCCGACCCCAATATTCCCCTAGTGGCCCGTGAGATCATGCAGCGAATGATCCAACAATTTGCTGCTGAATATACCTCAAAAAATAGCTCTACTCAGGACCCCAGCCAGCCCAATAGCACAAAGAACCAAAGCCTGCCGAAAGCATCTCCAGTCACCACCTCTCCCACGGCTGCAACTACTCAGAACCCTGTGCTCAGCAAACTTCTCATGGCTGACCAAGACTCACCTCTGGACCTTACTGTCAGAAAGTCTCAGTCAGAACCTAGCGAACAAGGTATGGTTTGACGTCAAGGTCTCTGTCCAATCAGAAAACTTTAATTTGGGGAGAGAAAAATTATTGGCAAGTAGGGCACCGGTAGAAATAAAAGGATAAAAACTAATGTGACTCTTAAATTATTGCTGACTATACAGTGATAGAGAAGTTCAGATAAAGTTGCTACCTTGCCCATCAGTAGTCGATAGTTATGATTTATATACTACCCAGGAAAGGTGGTTACAGTTGTTACTGATCTTTAAGTCATGTGATATTTATATAAGCATTTTATACTTTCCAAAACATTGTCATATCTTTTGTTTTTAAAAATCCCTATGAAAAGTTGTGTTTTTTTCCTTATCCATTAATGCTTTAGGATTAGCGCCTGAGAAACAAACATGTCTTATTAGGAAGAAAGACAATTATACTCTGCAAATGAGATGATAAAGCAAAAATATGTATTTGCAGTTTTAAAAGAGAAACTCAGAGTTAGAAATAATGAGAAGACAGTAGACACACTTTAGATTGTTAGATATATACAATACTTTATAGATACACAAAAGCATGCATTCATACATGCACTGTATTATGAGCTAACCCACAAGTATTTCCAAATAATTTGTTAGTGAGGATCCTAATTAAGTAGGTTAAGAGGTTATCAGTTTTGCATAGCAAATATTTCTTGAGTCTTTGAAAAGTTTACTTGCTTAAATAGATGAAGTGTTTCTATTGCTTTGTGACCTCATTTTACCTTTAATTTCACAAAGATGAAGTGAGCATTTCAACTCTGCCTTTAAACAACTAAAAATTTTAAATTGGTGATGCCTGTACTAATGAGATTTTGTCATAAAAATCTCATAAGAGTATGCAGAAAGGTTATGAGATGCCTGAATTTATTAGTGAGAAATACATGTTTATTTTTGTAAGTAATTTGTGAACAGTTTGCACTTAAAGGATTGACTTTAATTAGTTTTCCTTTGCTTTTTTTCTGTTTCCATGTAGTGAATAATAATCAGAATCTCTAAGTTTTAAGATTTCCTAGCACAAGACCTCCTAGTTGTTCTAGCTCCACATTGGTCAGTCTACTTTTGGTTACCGTCTTTGCAAAGTTGTTCTTTTTCTGTTTTATTAAGGATTGTTTTCTTTACCAAATTGGTGGTTTTCATTAAAATCTCTTTGCTCAAAATATTACACTAAAAGCTTCAGGTTCATAGTAGGAGAATGACAGATTGTATTTAAAGTATTAATAATGGAGATTAACATACAAAAGTACCACTTAGTCTAACTTAACTTCTTAGAATTAGTGTTATGCTTAAGAGGTGTGTTGTTTTGACAGCATGCACTTAGGAAGAGAAATTTGAACTAGATGGTAGGATTATGGTATGCAGCCTTCAAATAAAAAAAATTTAATTATATTTTCTAAATGAATTTTAGTGTTTTCAACTTATTACAATATTTTTAGTGGTAGATTAAAATATGTTGCCTATTTGATTAGACAGACTTAAGGGTCTTTAAATAATAATATCATTGGTTGGAAATACTTTATTAGTGTATTTGCTTGTTAGATAGCTAACAAGCAATTATATATTTAGAAATATTGGTGACACTCAAGGGACACTTATTCTGTATGAGTGTGGGCTTTTTTAGTTTATAAACTCAATCACTTACTTATTTCTAACAGCCTGAAATAGGGAGATACAGTGTCTTCAAATACAAGTCCTAAGTGGGCTGAATACGAGTATTGGGACAGTTTTTAACATAACTAGATAGCGCAGCCTCTCTGCTGGTCAACTGAAAATCATTGGTACATTGAATATTACCTTGCTCTGTTAGTTTGGGATGGAATGACAGTTTTAAGAGGTGTCCAGACTATGAGTTTCTTTTCTGTACATGTCTGTGAGGGGAAAAATCTAAAAACACAGTTGTCTAATTTTATGTTCTAGTAACATGAATTTGGGGTTTGGTCTAGCTTCTAAGACATTAAACCTCTAGGGGCCAATCATTACCAAGACTGATATTATTCTTTCTTTTCTTAAACTTTGCCCATCAATTGATAATAGCTTACTAACAACAACAACAAAAAAAAAAACACAAAACTGCTTTTATAAATGTCAGCAAGTAAATTTTGAATCTCTGCAGATTTTCCCCAAAAGATTGACAAAAAATAGACAGTTTTTTACAGATGTGTCCAAAGAGTAATTAAGATACATGCATGTTATAAACAGTTGACAACTGATTCATCCTACAGACTTTTCTTGTATAGTGTTTATGTGTAATTTAACCATATAAACTTGTATATTTTATGATAATGTTTGTATCACTTAAAATTCCCTAAATCCAATTAGTGCTTGGATAATAAGGTAAATTTAGAAAATGAATTCTAATAGTTTTGTTGCTGAACCTCACTCATACCATGTAAACTGCTGTTTCTAATATCTCACTGTATCTTAACAGTTACAGCAATATGCTTTACCTTTTGCCCTATTAATAAAATATTTAACCCTTGGAGATATTAGATATAACAAGCTTTGCTAAATTTATTTTGCTTCAGGAAGAAAAATATCCTGATTCTATTAATGAATTGATTTCATAACTCGAATATATGATTATTGTATCTGTTTAGTTGACTTGGCTTACTGCTTTGTCATTTTTAGCCAATTCAGATGACATTTCCTCCTCGTTTTTAATATCCTCAGGTGTTTCTTTGTGTCTCTGCAGACGGTGTACTTGATCTGTCCACTAAGAAAAGTCCATGTGCTGGCAGCACTTCCCTGAGCCATTCTCCAGGCTGCTCCAGTGCTCAAGGGAACGGGTAAGGGAAAATACTTGTAGCCTTCCACAGTTTTATAGGGGACAGATTATCGAAGATTGATGCTAATTTCTTTTGTATGTTTTAGAAATTAATCCTTGAGGGTAATACCCTTCTAGGTATACCTTTAATAAAATTACTTTGAGTCCATCAATCAAGTAAAAGCACAGTCTCTGAAATCTGAAGTTGACTCGTATAGATCAATTATGTCAGTTTAGTACAAATAGTAAATAACCAGGCATATGACAAGAATGTCTTTGGACTTTTTGTTATTGAGTATTTGGGAGTGTGAACCCTAACTTAAATAATTCCAGGGTTCAGCTGTACAGGCAATATTGTGTGCTGAAGTTATCAAATAAAAATTGGGCTCCAGTATTTAACTTGATATATCTAATGTGGTGTGGGGGTGTGTGTTGGCTGTTCATTTTTTTCTTGTTGGTTTTGTTTTGTTTGTTGATTTGAACTGCAAATTTAACTCTGTGTGGCAGTTCAGAAAATCTAATTGTATTTTTGCTTTTTAAGTAGATAAGACTGGTTGTAAATGTTGACAAATAACTCTTATGCTACCAAGACATTACATGCACAGTTTTAATAATTATTTAGCAGATGAAAGTGAATTTTCTGGCCATCTAATTTTACAGTGTAAGAATTATCTAATTCTCCCTCTATGTGTACATGTTAACCATCTAGAGAAAAGTATTAATAAAGTTATTTAGATGCCGTATTAGGAAGGCATTTCCATAAAACTGTGTTGTGACCAAAAATCAACTTCATCTAGATAATGAAAAATAACTTCAGTAAGTTAAATTAGTTAATATTTAGGTTTATTTAACTTTTAGATATCAACATGGGGAGTTGTTTAAATGGTAAAGGAATAAGTATATATACTAAGTGGACTGTTACATTTAATTACCTTTACCTTCAGATTGAAGGATTTCTTTACTGCTAAAATGCGCCCTTTATTTTCTCTGAAATTCTATTTTCCTTTTTCTCTCCTTTATTCAGTCTAAAAATAACATTAATTTAGTTCATTTTGCATAGTTTAATCTTTTTTCCTTAAGCCCTTCTCTTCACTGTAGTTTGTACTAAATGGAAGTTATCATGGTCCCAAATCCTTGGGTTCCATTTATATATCAAAAAACTTGAGTTGTGTAATTAAGGACACATGTAGGAGAAGACTAAGCGTGGTTTGCATAAATGAATCCCTTGCTTAAGATTCAGGTCACACTTGGCCACCAGGTTCATGTATTATCATATGGTGAAGTTGCTCTGTTTATCCCTCTGAATGGAAAGTTTTTTCCCTACATGATATTGTTGTCTGGAAGATAGAAGCATGGACAGTACTGCCCAGCTTTTAGTTGAATATTCATTGTTATGCTCATGTTATTTAGTGATAACATCACAGAATCCCTCTAGACTTTCGGAATATATAGCTGGTTTATCATTATGTCTGCAGAGTTCCTCTTTTGTACTCACTTAATGCAATTCTCCCTGGGCATGCTTTACCAGTTGCCAGTTTTATCATTGATAATCTTTATTGTGAAAATGAAAAACCTATGAATTTGTGTAAGGAGCTGACTTTTAAACGTTATTCAAAAGCTGTTCACTTAAAATTTCAAAATTGATGTTTGGTATTTTAAGTTTTTTTATAAGGAAAACTACAAAATTGTTTATAGACCTGTGACAATAATTACTTTGACTAGAACTTAAGGAACAAAGTTTTGGGGCAAATAAAATACAGTTTCCTTAAAGTTTGGATTATTTTAAATGGAGAATCAGTGGTACTCATGTATCTGGCACTAATAGTGTTTTTAAATGAAGAAGTGTGGTAAGTTATATGCGATGGGTATTTTGATTTGTTTTGATTTGGGGTTTTTTTCCCTCTTGGGGCTGGTAGCCATATTTTTTGCCCAAGCAAAATAAGAAGTGTTATGTGGAGTTGTTTGATTTTTGGTAATGAACATCAACTTGTTTGTGGGATAAATGAGCACTTATCTGTGGACTCCACCAGTGTAAATGGTTCCAGTTTTAGGGCTGGTTGTCATGAATGTTGGACATGTTGCATTAAAATAAGTAATTTGGCTTACTCTTTTATTACTGTACTTGTTTAGTGGTAACGTCACATTGGTATCACAATTCTGTGTAGAGTTATGGAGACTTGATGATTACTTTGTAATTAATAATTAAGGTGCTATTTTCAGACAGTTGCGCGAAACTTTTTCTCCGAAAATTTGTGAACCCAACCAGAGACCAGCTGACAGGTTTAATTTTTCTTTGCCCAAAAAGCTCCTGGGTTTTTTTTTCTTTTTTCCTTTTTCTTTTTTTGTGAACACGTTTTAAAACTAACTGCCGAGACCATTTGTTTTTTAATTTTAGAGAAAAATAAATAAATAACACAAAGTGATGTTACCCAAGCAAGGCCTTCTAATAAAGGAGTGGTCCCCTCACCCACCCCTCCCTACCTGTGCAAGTCCTGCTCACATCAGTTTCCTTCCATCCAATTAGGCGACCTGGGAGACCCAGCCAGTACCGCCCAGACGGACTTCGGAGTGGTGATGGGGTACCTCCAAGAAGCTTACAGGATGGAACCAGGGAAGGTTTTGGACACTCCACATCACTCAAAGTTCCATTGGCTCGATCCCTGCAGATTAGTGAAGAACTACTGAGCAGAAACCAATTGTCCACAGCTGCCAGCCTTGGGCCATCTGGATTACAGAATCATGGACAGCACTTAATATTATCCAGGGAAGCCTCTTGGGCAAAACCACATTATGAGTTCAACCTCAGTCGTATGAAGTTCAGGGGAAATGGTGCACTCAGCAACATCAGTGACCTTCCTTTTCTTGCAGAAAACTCTGCCTTTCCAAAAATGGCACTTCAAGCAAAACAAGATGGAAAAAAGGATGTGAGCCATTCATCTCCTGTAGATTTAAAGATACCACAAGTTCGAGGAATGGATCTTTCTTGGGAATCTCGCACTGGTGATCAGTACAGCTATAGCTCTTTGGTAATGGGTTCACAAACGGAGAGCGCGCTTAGTAAAAAACTGAGGGCTATTCTTCCAAAACAAAATAGAAAAAGCATGTTAGATGCTGGACCCGATTCTTGGGGCTCAGATGCTGAGCAGTCTACCTCTGGACAGCCATATCCCACATCGGATCAAGAAGGAGACCCTGGCTCCAAGCAGCCTCGGAAGAAAAGAGGGCGATACAGACAGTACAACAGTGAGATACTGGAGGAAGCAATCTCAGTGGTTATGAGTGGAAAAATGAGTGTTTCCAAAGCTCAGAGTATTTATGGGATTCCCCACAGTACACTGGAGTACAAAGTAAAGGAGAGGCTGGGCACTTTGAAAAACCCTCCAAAGAAAAAGATGAAATTAATGAGGTCGGAGGGGCCAGATGTTTCTGTAAAGATTGAATTAGATCCCCAGGGAGAGGCAGCACAAAGTGCAAATGAATCAAAAAACGAGTAGGAATACTGTAGAGTGCCAATTACTGTACAAACTGGGTGAGCACTACTGCTATCACTGCTTGCACCTAACTTCATTTACTGTGACACTTGTTTCTTTGCAGATTTTGCATTGACTTGTGTGTACAGAGCTGAAAGGTGCATTCTGAATGTTGCGTATTTAAAATTTTTCATGTGCAGTATGGCTCGGGATATTGTTTGGCCTTTTGCATGTTTCTCTACAAGAGAATTGAGTTACCTCACAGAGAACAGATACATGGAAGTGGACTCCTTGCCTGTAGAGCCTGCATGCTTTTCTTTATTTTTTTAAGTTATATTTGCCTTTATTTTAAAAAGAAAAAGAAAAAAGCCCCCTTTTAGAAACCACCTCTGCATTCTGGGAGCTTTATCACTGCAAATTGGAAAGCCATCTTACAAAATTATTCACATTTTTTTCTTCTATGATTCAGCTAATTGAAGGATTAACCTAAGGAAAAATCTCTTAGGAACAATGAATCTTTGAATTTAAGAAATGTGTTTATTCGATGATAAATAATTATTTGGATCAATTTACATTTTATGATTTTTTTCTCATTGTTAAATTTACTTACAAATTAGCAATCTATTTAGTGCTCACCCAGGGGGGAAGGAGGTGGAAAATGTGCACACACTACCTTCAGAAATGCTTCGGTTAATTACTTTGTAACACTACCTTTGCTGTGATTTCATTTGGGATTTTCTAAGGGTAGAATTTGGTCTCACCAACAAGTGAGGATATAGCCTTATCTCATGGAGGACGAGCTCCGTTCTTACTCAGGAGCAGTCAGGGTACATTACATAAAACAATAGAGGATGCCTCATTTTAGCAAAATCGGTTTCTTTGTATTCTTAAATCCTTGTACGGATTTGATCATGTGCTAACTAACGACTGGATGTCGTTGCAGCAACTAGTTTAAAATATTCAAGATCTGTTTATTGGGGAATGGGAGAAATAGGAAAAGAAATGTGTATAATGAATTATAATATTGTAAACGTGGTATCTAGATTTTACAGCCTCAATAGTCTGCCCAAATATCCACATGAATGAAGAACCCATTTCCTTCATTCACCACAAGGTTTGTGGTGAGAGAGAAAAAACACAACTCCAAGGTGACCTAATATGATTTAGGTTGCATTTCAATTTTAATCATAATTTAATAAAAAAATCTCATTAGTTTCTTTTTTAACTAATCCAGATACTAGTACAAGGGACGGGGGGTGTATTCTTCTTTAGTTTTTATTTAATTCGTTGCTCTAAATCTTCTTTTTCTTTCTCTCTCTCTTTTTTTTTAGCATCCTACATAACACCTCCTTCATAACTTTTTGCTTGTTTTCATGGTTGTTTAGCACACAGTTCAGGACCTTTCAGATGATGTTTGTACAAGCACTCCTGGAAGAACAGCTAAGCCTTGTTTGAGATGGGCTTTAAAATCACACTAAGTTGGGAACCTTTGTTTTCTACAGTTTTTTTGTAAGAATAATTGATAAAGCCCATGAAATTTAATTTTTGACCA